TGTGCAGAGACGCAGCAGCCGCGGCGCCGCTCAATGTCCACACCAATGCGGAACGAAGCAACTGGTGATGAGCAGCATCACTATAGCAAGCACAGTACTTCGGACTGCCGTGGGTATAGAACTTCTGCTATTTACTGCTTCTTTCCTGCACACATTCTCCCTCGCTTTATAGGGGAACTAAAAACACTACCAAGCGACTTCTATGTGGAAGTCGTGGGGCTAAAACAACCAGAGTAGCCTTGAATGTGGCCGTCGTAGGGACCAAAAAAAAAAAAAAAAAAAAAGAAACATGTGATGTGGCCTCTGCGGAGAGTAAAACATGTGGGGAAGCGTAGATGTGGTCTTCCGGAAGTGCGAAAAGGCAAACGAGTGCCTCTATGTATGCGGCTTGGAGGAACCCAAAAACGTCTTCCAGTTCTGCCTATGTGGGCTTTGGGTCGACTGAAATAATGCTGAAATGGTGTGTGTGGCTTTGCAGAAGAGCGAAAAGCTACGCTACGTGGATAGTGGAGCATGCCGCTGGAAAGAACCGAAACTCCACCCGATCAATACTATGTGTGCTCTGCGGGCGGAGATGGAATGTGAGGTTGAGCTTCTAAGATGATAAGCGCCATCAGTGCTATATGGGTAGACTGTATCGCTAGGCAGCGGTCGACATCAGATGGCTATGAGTGGTATAACTCGCTCTCGTTGCTGCCAGTTTCTTCTTCCTCACACTTCTCCGCTACTTTCGGGTACTAAAAATCGAGAAAAACAGATCGTATGTGGCTTCGGCGGTTCCTTTGGGACATTACAAAGTCGCAGCGACATTTCCGATGTGTCGTCTGTGGGCGATTCAAAATTTGCAGTCTAAAGGCATATGTCTTTGTGTCTTTGGGACACTAAAACTCACCATTGCAGCAGCCCATGTGTCTTCTGCAGCCCGGGCCGTTTAAAAAGTACACCATGATCAGAAATGTGCGTGTGGATTTTGGGGCATTTAAAAAACTACAGTCAAGAACAACATGTGCCTCTTGAAGACGTCCTGAAATGCACTCTAGGATATCTGATGTCTGTGTTTCTTTTGAGGAGGCAAAAATTCTCACCACTACCTTTGCATGGAGTGGAGATGCTACAGTCAGACTTCAAGAATCGCATGGCATCTCGCGAACGGAAATGAGCGTGATGTCGCTTTTCATTTCTATTGGAAAGCGGATAGATACGATGATCGTAGGGTATATAAACTACTGTTGTCTACTTCTTTGCTCACTACACTGGCACTGCTTTTTTTGATGGCTAAAAAGCTTCCAGGTCAACATGAGGTGGTCTGTGTGACTAAAAAACTACAAAACCAAGTAATATGAAAGTGCGTGGTGCTTTGGAGGCTAAAATTTCGCAAGCTCTGTGGTATGGGGCTCTCTATCCCTGTCACAACATATCAGGAATTCATTCCTTTGGAGGGTCGAGGATTGGGAAGTGATGAGGATCATCGTCATAGTTCCAGCGATACGTTAAGAACATCAGATGGCGGAGAGATGTATAATCGCCCTCCTCAAGAAGCTTTGTTTATTACATTCCTCCTCACCTTCCACATGAGACCAAAATTTGTGGACCTTATTGCCCATGTGGCTGCTGTGCTTGGGGAACTAAAACACGCATACGAATACAATATGCGGAGGGCTTTGCTTGGGGCCCCTTAAATTTCCAACGCCCTCGCCGCATGAGTCCTTGGTCTGAGACAGCCGAATGTACCAATGTCCTCCTGCGCCCCTGAGAAAATTGTGTTCGGCGTGATAAAAAACTTGATGATAGTCACTATCGCATCGTGTTTCTCATTGGCATGCGAGGCATCAGACGCTCGCGATTATATAAACTCTTCCGGTCATGTCGTTTCCTTCACACTTTACGGCGCTTTTCTGGTGTGACTAAAAGAATACCTGAACCTTCTCATGTCTGCCTGCGGAAGGTCTAAAAGCCATCCTGGCTGGAATCATGTGGAGTGGTTTCCTGGAATGACCAAAACTCACCATCTACAATCCCATGTTCTTTTCCTCAGGGCGGACTATGCAGATAGCTATTTTCGCAGGACTCGTTTGGTGTAGTTGCCGGCTTTGATGGTGCCTACCATCATCAACAATATGTTGGAAATCCTTCGGGTTCGGGACATCAGATGCTTGTAGTATCTATAAGCTCTTCGCAATGAGTGCCTTTTCCCCTCACAGATCCTATCATTCCTTTGGAGTGGCTTCAAAACTGCACCATCAGCAGACAATGCGTCTGTTGGGGGACTTGAAATGCATCAATTCCCGAGCATGGAGCGGCGGGCGTCGCGGCTTCCAACACCCTCAAATGACACGATAGAGGCCTATGTTGCAAAATGCGTCGGCTTCATGGCTGGCCAACTCGATTTAGTTGGTCTTCTAGGTAATGTGGCGGAGGAAGATTCCAATTTTTGGTTTTCTCCGACTGCAAAGCAGAAGTGTAGTCTGCAGAAGGTCTGGTGGCGAAAGGTGCTTATACAGCCCGCCATTTCCCAATATACTATCTAAATTACTTCAAAAAGGCAGGTCCAAAAGCAATGATGAACATCAACGTCATTTGATCGCCCATTTCACTGGACTAAAATCTTCTCTATTTCAAGCACTACCAAGGATGTAGCCACGTGACTTGACGTCAGAGGTGGTATACATGGAAGGTGCTACCTGGGTGCACGGACTAGGGACTCAACGGAAGCTCTCCCCGCGCTCTCTCTCCTCGCAGCAGACTCCTGACTCTACACACTCTTTTCTGCAGATAGCAATACAGCTTATTGTCTTCATCTGCCTGCCTGCTTACAAAGGATCTACCCGGGTATAAGCTCTCGATTCTTGGAAGAGGCAGAGGTGAAACTATGGGAACAGGAGGTCCTCGCAGGGGGCAGGCACCTAATCATTAGGCATCGGACGCTTGCTTTTAAGTCCAGTCCACTCGAGGAACACATTCATGTCTTCCTTGAAGCTTTTTAGCCACTCTTATAAAGCGGATAGCACTGTGAGGAGCTCGGAGTGGTCTGAACAAGGAATTATATACCGCAAATTCATCCAGAGGTGTCCTCCTAAACCAGTGCGAACGACGATGTTGATCATCAAGCGTAATCATATCCGGAAGCAAAGTGCATGTGCACTTCTTTTCGAGTGACTAAAAACGTTCACAGCAGTGCGCATGTGCGCCTTCCCCGCGCGGGGATTGCGATTAAGACTACGCAGCTGTATAGATGTCCTCTGGCCTGCTTTTCGAGGCTGAAAAAACCTTCTGACAGACGATGGGGGAGAAGCTTTCGCTCAATCTACACACAGAGCTGTACTGCACTTCGTGTTGTTATGTACCCTTGGGCGTGGTGGTGAGCATTATTGCGCCCGTATTCCTACCATGTTAAGCTTACTAGGATAATCAAAGAATATGTGCGCGCGCTTCTCTGTTGACGGCAGAGAATAGCGAGTTTTCCCAGAATAATTATTGGAAATTAGTATGTTATGCTTCTCGTCGTGCGTAGGTCGCCAAATCCAAGGATTGAAATCGTGTTAGAGACACATTCAAGTATATGTATTTGATTAGTTGGCAGCTTCGTGGGTTCATACGTAGTGTCTCAGCCGCTGTCAGGATGAACCGCAGGGTCTCTTATCGTCGTTATCGACCTGAACAGATCATGCGACACACAGCAACTGAGAAACGCGACGATGATCACAGCAACTGAAGGGAGGATAGATCGCACCGTCGACGATGGAGCGGTACAGGAAATTTTAGACCAGACACCCTTGGACGAGGTGCGGATTGGGATTAAGGTCCTTCGCCGGGTAGCCATGTTTTCCACGCCTGAGACGGTACAGGATCGACTGGAGACGAGCAGTTCGCAGGCGACGATACAGACGAGCACTTGAGCCACCGTGACCGTCGAGTGACCACCAGTCTTGCTAATTCGCCGTGATCGACCTACTCGACGAGTTTAAAGCGGCTCGAAGTGGTTCAAACAGAGAAAGAAAACGGACTCTCCAAGCTTGAAGTAAAGGTAAAAACGACGATAGTGGTAAAAATGACTTTTTCAAACCTAGCACTGCTGCAGCACCAGCTTGCACGATCCCCCACATAAGGAGCTTCCACCAAGTTCCTGGCTTCAATACCCCCAGAGATCTCGTTTGCAAAAGTAAATCTATAGACAGTATATTCCACATCCTATAGCGCAATGTGTACGGCTCTTAGAGTCTGTTGGCTACAGTGGGCGCAGTGTCGAGCCGACGAAAGCTACCGATTGTGAAGGAAGTATCGACGATCGACTCGGACACAGCAGGGATTGTACCTCTGGGAGCTATGTATGCGGTTAAAGTTCTCCCTGCGGCAGTAGTAAAGGAGGAGTCCAGGAGTCAAACAAACTAACAGATAACGTTATGGAATTGTCATTTGTAAATTTCAAGGCATTGTAGTTAGGAATAGAATACTCTATTATAGAAGAAGTTTATCAAAGCCAGGCATAATAAGGGACAAGAATGTCGTTGAAGACGATAAAAGAAAAGCTTGTAGAGGTCGTGATCGCCTACCGTAGAAATTTAATAATATGGAGCGAACCAACGCTCTTAGCTCGAAGTATCTATTTGTTAAAAAAGAAGAAAAGTAGACTTTTTGCAGGGTAAAAGCGTTGTAAGCACGACTACTAGTAAATAAGTAGTCTATGCTAAGAGCGTTAGTCAACTCTGAATTATTGAATTTCTACGGTAACCTATTGTAGGTTTAATAGATTACGGATTTAGTGGCCTACACACTATTGAATATCACTGCAGACATGAACGAAACGCTCAAATTGCCTAACCTAAACCTGAACTTGGAAGGAGTCAGCGTCGAGTGCCCTCCTAAATTGATTGGTTCACTTACATGTGCTGATGGGCCACGCTTTCTGCCAAAAAGTAGAAAATGCAAAAAAGAAGAATGATTTGCCGAAACCCAGAATTGCTATTAAGGACATTAGTTACTGACCGTTGCGGTGCTCGAACTGGCGCAACTTACAACTAGGGATCTTCGCATTTGCTTAATCGTACAAGTGCGACGCGTTACCACTGCGCCATTCCGGCTCAACCCAGGTCAGACCTAGAGTGGATTCAACTTGGATAAAAAGTTAAAATTATTAATATATAAACCAGAAGAAATTAGAGTGAGCCACGAAGCGCTCAGCACATCTCAGGGGCCACCCTGCAATCGCGTACGTGTGCATTGGCAGCTCGTGAGGGGTAACGTGCACGGACAGCTCATGCCCGGAGACACCTCGTGCCCCGCCGAACACCATATCCACCACTTTAAAAGTGAGGCTACTGAGCCACGTATAATAGCTATTATTATGAGATTTTCTAGTGAAGCACTATATCGACTCTTGCGATTAATCTAAACTAATTATATTTACTTAGGAGCTTAATGTTGTGGCTACGTAATGTAACTTTAGGTAGAGTAGTAGATAGCTTATCTTAAGCTTAAACACTAGCGTAAGTAGCGCTAGCGCGTTTCTAATACTTATTACTTAATAAGATTGCTTATAAGGCTAGTTACTTATATTTTTAAGCTTATTAAATAGCTTTTTTTTAGTATTAAGTTTTAACTTTACGCGTGCGTTTAGCTACTTTCTTAGCTTACTTAACCTCCCTTATCTCTTTAAGCCTCTACCTCTCTACACGCTTCTTTTTAAGCTTAACTTAACGCTATAGTTAAGCTTCCTTACGCTACTTCTTAGCTTATGCTTTTTAAAGTTTCTCCTTTATCTTATCTTGCTCTTATACTACTTCTCTAGCTTAAGCCTTACGTAGCTTACGAGGAGACTAGTAGATAGCGCTATTATAATATTTTTAGCGCTATTAAAGGTTAAGAGCTTTACCCTTTTTCCTATGCTTCTTTTTGTGTTAAAGAGCCTCCTTTAAGCCCTTATTCTTATGCTTTAAAAGCTTATTCTAAATAAAGAGATAGTAAACGCTTAAACGTAGCTTTCTTACCTTATACTAATAGCTATTAGTAATAGTAGCTTAAACTAATCGATCTATCTTTCTCTAATTATAATTAGAGAGCCTTAATAATAAGCTTCTCTTAGCTTCTGGCGTGCTAGCAAATCTACGGAGGATAACGTTGGTATCTATAGGTTGGTTGGTTGGTTGGTTGGTTGGTATTCATTTTTCGTCTAGTTAATGGGGATTAAGTCCACTATCTCGCCTCCCGAAGGGCATATACGACGTGCTAAGCTATAGAATTATAGTACTAATATACTACCTTAGAAAGCATTTCTTGCCTGCGCGGGTATTGCTACTATTTTAAGCTATAGCTCCCCTTCCCGTTAGGGAGACTAAGCAGTGTATGTACATTAGGGTGAATTCTTTGTATGTGTTTAGAGGCAGTTTAGTGCTGTGAGAAGAAAGAAAAGGAAAGAGTAGATAGGTGTGGAGAGCCGGTGCTCTGTCGAATCGGAGCCGTGGCTCTGCGCGAGGAGAGCCTTTGTACCAGGCTTGGCGATGCCTGTGTCGAAGGAGATAGGTGTAGTAGGAAGGCAGAGCTAGGCCTGTCCTTCTTCTTTATCCCTAAGAGTCGTATAATATAAGGCCAGGCTGGCTGCCTTATTTGCGTGTTGTGTCAGGTCAGGGACGCTGATAGTTAGTCTTTAGAGAGCTACGGGCAGCTCTCGTTGTTATAGGTGTTAAGAGCTAGTGCTTTGTCGAATCGTGCCATAGCTCTTCGCATGGAGAGCCTTTGTATTTAGGCCTAGCAGGTGCCTATATCTTATAAGAGTAAGGAGTGTCACGACTATCTCCTTGTCTTAGCTATGGTTGTAGCCTTTAACTAAACGTGAAAATCTAAGCGGCGCACGGGCTATTTTAAAAAGATTTTAGCTTACTAAGAAGCTAAAAGAGAAAATAAGGCAGCGCGCCTGCCACAACGCCTGTAGCTAAAAGAGGACGCGAGAAAACAGATTTACGAAGGCATTTAAGTCGTGTTTTGACGAAAAATCGATGGATATCGACCTTTCGGTGACCTGGAAAAGTTGATGTTCGGTGTGGTATCTATAGGCCAGATCCTAGTAGCTTTGAAGGCCTTTAATATGAGGCTCTCCGTGAAGGAGGATATCCAGGCGCTTTAGAAGAGTAGGAAGAAGTCTCCTTTCTTAATTAGAATAAGACCTTAAGCCTTATAGAGATAGTTAGTAAGCTCGTTAGAGTAAGCTTAAGAGAGAGGCTTAAATAGCACTACGTTAAGTAGCTAGAGCGTATAAGTTAAATAGGGGGGAAGGATTATAAGGAGGATCCTATAGCAATTATAGTAGTTAATAAACTCTATCGTAACATGAGATCTATAGCTATTAAGGATAAGCAATCGCTATCTCCCTAATTACTACTTTATATAGTAATTAAACACCTGCTCTAGCCAAGCTAGGCCTATGTCGTCGTTTAACTAGCCTGTTAGAGATAATAAGATAAAGACCTTATATTCTCCTGCCTTAATATTCTTTACCTAACTTAATTATATAGCTCCTTTTTTAGCTACGTAGATAAGCCTTAGAGGTAGCAAGCTCCTATTAGCGTAGTAGTAGGCTAGGAGTATTAGGAACTTGCGTAATTTATCCTAAAGAGATACTTAAACCTCCTTCTTCTCTTATTAATACCTGCTAAATATCCTCTTGCTTCTGCCTATTAAGCTAATTAAGAAGCCTTTCTTATCTATATTGTATATATCTTAAGCCTTAAAGTGATATTTAGTGATCTTTTAATGCAGTAGCTCGAAATAAAGACGGTATTTTGACTTAGAATTAGCTAGGTGGCGAATACGATCTATGGTGGTAGTCTACTTTAAGATTATATAGATTTAGTGTCTAGTGATGAAGCGAGAAACCCATTAATTACTTAGCTACTAATAGGCTATTTTAGATAAAAAATTCCTAATTATCTCTCTCGTAGGAGGAAGGCCTCTCTCAGTAAGCTTTATAATATATTATATAAGCTCTAGCTCTTATTGTTAGTTAAGAGCTTATTAATTTAAGTATCTATCCTTTTAAGACGCTGTCACGCCTCTCTACCTTCGCCCTAGCGTTAAGTAGTTAACCTTGTATTTCTTAGTAACTTCCCTTAACGTAAAGTATTCTCCTAGATTACGCGATTTTAAATCTTTAATTGCATTGTTAATAGGTGCCATGGCTATAGCGTTATAGTCTGTTGAAGTTATGGTGTTGAGACGCGGCTTGGTGTTCGGCGGGGCACGAGGTGTCTCCGGGCATGAGCTGTCCGTGCACGTTA